CCCTTCCCTTCCCTTCCCTTCCCTTCCCTTCCCTTCCCTTCCCCTGATTTTTTGTGATTCCCAATTTACATCTTTGTAACATTTTTGATGTACCCCTTAGAAGTAGAAGGGAGAAAGATCTGATGGACTTTTAGAGCAGGCATGAAACTGCTTTTATCATTGTGATCTGTTCCAAAAAAATTTCCGAGACTCCAGTTGGCCTTTGAGTTCTCTGTTAAGGTAGCAAATGCAACAATAAGACATTTTAATTTAGAAAAGAAAAAGATTATGTACAACAGTGTTAAAAATATAATATAAAAGAACCATAATAATAATAATAATTCAAAAAGGAAAGGAGGAAAAAGGCCTGGGAAAATATATAAGTAAAAGGTTGACTTTATCGCTTGAAGATCTTTCTCCTTGCCCTTCCGTAAAAAAATTAAAATACATTAAAATAAATGAAATAAAATAAAAGATTGACATATAATACATGTCATCAATCCATCTCTGCAGATCAGGAGTAGATATTTTTTTTCAAGTGTTGCACTATTATTATTTTCCCCATTCCTGAAACAACTTGATGTTGATGAGATTCTTAGTATTGGAATATAGTCAAGAACATAAATATCTTTAATACATATCAGTTGATCCAACGTATTAATTGCGGCACTTTAATGATTGACAATTGTATCATCGCATAAGTTGCTGTAAATCATAGACCACCTCATCAGATAAGGCAGATGGCAATGGTGGAGCCAGTTTTGGGTGTGTCTCCCAATTCAATGAGACAAATCGCAAATTATTCCTTTATTGTGCCTGTCTACACTCTAGTCTTGGGTTCATTTTTAGTTTGCAGAAGTAAAAATGGCTGTGCTTCGGATCTTTGGGGTTGGAAACCATTAACATCTTCATGTGACAGCCATCTGGTGCATTCTGTGGCAGGCATCTGGAAGCATCAGGGATCCTGCTTTAGTTCTTTTACTTTTAAAATAATGGCCTATACTTGTTATAGGAAGTTATGGCTTATGTCATTAAATAGAACACCTTCAGCTCTAGATATATTGGGATTTCAGCTCTCAAAATTCCGAGCCAACACTGGAGGGGGGGCGGGGGGAACATCTACTTGAGGAAAGCTAGAAGTCACCCTAGGATGCTGTCTTAAGCAGCTGGGAGACTGTATATAGGATGCCCAATGGTTCGGGCTGTGGTTTTTTTATTGTTGTACAGGAACAAGACAAATAGATTTATTTATTTCTTAACCGAAATATGCAGTATGGTGCCTCCCAACTGGAAGTAGCTGAAATTGCACTTGGTTTGCATGTATTATAGAAACGTGCCAATATTTGTCTTTTTAGTTTGGACTGTCATCTTAGACATTCGTTTTAATTTTTCTAAAACAATCAAATATTTTGCTATAAATTAGCTTTTTCCTTAGGATAATAAAGTATTGTTAATACTCATTGGTTTGTTGAACCGCAGATATTCTTCTTAAAACCATCCTTTTCTGCTTTGGAATTTTTCTTTGGAGAGCAAAAGCAGATGTTGGAATAATTCAGTCATTGTTAGCCTCCAGCTGATGCATTCCAATGGAAACCCTCAGTCTAATGCTTGAATGCTGGCAAATGAACTCTGGAAATCATGACATTCTGGGTCAGTTTGACTGGCCTGATTATTCTTGTACGATGTAGTGGGACTAGCTTCATGTCAAGAGAATTATCACAGCAAGGAAAAACAAACGAAAAGGATAGAAAAGCAATGGTACTGAGCAAGTGGGACTGTGAACCAGTAGGTTTGCTGCATTGCAAAATCTCCACAAATTATCAAGTGAAACTCCTAAACCAGGGATGGCAAACCCATGACACACGTGTCAAAGGTGACACGTCATGACGTTTTGTGACATGCCAGCATTCACCAACACCCAACAACAACTATTCTTCCTGTTTGAGTTACCAAAGAAACTGAGTTTGTTTACTCGTATTTCGTTTTTGTAATTTGACCTTTCTTTATATAATACATAGTACCACACATGATTGGACTGTATTTTTTTTAAATAAATGAATATGTAAAGAATTGTTTCTCTTTTGTTTTTGTAATTTGACCTTTCTTTATATAATACATAGTACCACACATGATTGGACTGTATTTTTTTTAAATAAATGAATATGTAAAGAATTGTTTCTCTTTTGTTTTTGTAATTTGACCTTTCTTTATATAATACATAGTACCACACATGATTGGACTGTATTTTTTTTAAATAAATGAATATGTAAAGAATTGTTTCTCTTTTGTTCGGGGGATGGGTGACATGGCAGCAGAGTCAAGTTAGGCATTTTCCGAATTTTTGACATGCCGAGCCCAAAAGATTTGCCATCACTGTCCTAAACTAATTGACTGGCTAAACCTAATCTGGTTCGTTTGATTTTGGGTTGTCTGCTGTGTGAACAAAAACCACTGTTGTTTATAAACCATGGTTTGCTATTAAGTATGTATCCAAATCCAGCCAATTATAATTTATTCAATGAATCGTAATTAAGCAAACTGTAGTTTAGCAGATTGCATGCAACCAGCCATTGTCTCTAAATATATATTTTATATATACTAGTTCTTGTATCACACATGTGTAAGCCTTATAACTTTCAATTCATCTTACAAGAAAATCCATTCATATTCATTTGGTAATGATAACTTCCTGTAAACACCTCTTTCATATTCTTCTATCACTGTAGATTTTTATGCTTGAACCATCTTTCATGGTCGTATTTGGCAAACATGAAAATGTTTTCCACCTTCATATATTCTCAAATCTGCATTTCTTTACAAATCAAATTATGGATGTTGAAGTAATGATTAATCTGAACATTTTTAATGAGCTTAAACTGCAAGATAATTGTTCCCAAATATTGTCACCGTACAGTACCTAAGGATGTCTGATGTAGCAGCAGAGAATTCTTGGCTTGATTCAGCCATGCTGCTCCTCCAGATTAAAATGATTTGTTAAAACATCTTTTAAAATCGTGGAGCCAGCACTTGACTTGAGTCTTAACCTATATGTTTAGGCACGTTTACAAGATAAATGATGCTTGCTTGCCTTTATTTGCACATTTATATTGAATTGACTTCTGTATTCATTGCTTGCACAGTCACTTACATCAGAAGTGCACAGCCTGAGGTCTGCTTATGGACCCTGAAAGTTTTCTCCCTCTCCCTCTCCCTCTCTCTCTCCATTGTTATGTCCTAGATTAATGGTAATTATATTTTTGCATATTGTCATAGCCTAAATTTATTATAACCCTATGTTGCTAATTAGTCTGTTCTCTATACTTTTTTCTTGAAGTCAGTAACTCTTATTTCTGCCTCCTTCTCCTGTTGAAGTAGAGTTTTGTTCAGTAAGTTATTTAATTTCCAGAATCCAAGTGTTTTAATGGACCATAAATCCCTAAAGTTCAATTTTATCCAACACTGTATCCATCTAGAAGAAAACAATTTGCAAAACTATCTTGATTTGAAATTATCCGGCTACCTTTTTAAAAATAGTAAACAATTTCAGGAGTTTACTGTCTTCTTCCAACTGCCCATTCGTCTCTGCAAAATGTTCCTCCTCTTCCTTCTTTCCAATCCCTTTTTCATACGACTGATCTTTCCTTAGATTAGAGCTGCAGGAAATAGCTAAAATAGATTTCCCCAACCTAGTGCCCTGTAGGTGTGTTGAGCCACATGCTAGCTGTGTATTCTGGGAGCTGTAGTACCAACATAGCTGAACAGCATCAGAGTGGAAAGTATGGTACCTGAGGAATATTTGCAAAAAAAAAAAAAAAAATGGCAGGTAAGAAGATGGTTAAACACAGTAACCTTTTTATTCCACCATTCATATTTCCTAAGCATGTCTCTTTTCAAGACTTATCCCAGCCATAATGAGGCTAATCATAACGTCATGTCAGTTGAATTTGTGATGTTATACAATGCCAATAACTCTCCAGAAACCATGTGCAAAGGATAGTAGCAAATCATTTTTTGCTTTAGTCCAGTGTTTTTTAAACTTGGCAACTAGCATGCTGGCTGGGGAATTCTGGGAGTTGAAGTCCACACATCTTCAAGTTGCCAAATTTGAAAAACACTGCTTTAGACTTTATTCAATCGCTCAGCATATACTTACATTATTTTCTTCTTTTCTATATTAAAATTAGATATGGCTTTCAAGTCCTTCTGTAATTAGATAGCTCTTTTCTTATTCCTTTCCCAGACTTGGGCTCGAAAGAGGTTCAACTGCTAAAGAAGCCTTGGATGTCATTGTCTCACTGCTGGAAGAATATGGTCAAGGTGGAAATTACTATGAAGATGGAAGTATGTGCCACACCTTCCTGTCTGCTTATCTGATAGTGGACAGAAAAGAAGCTTGGGTGTTGGATACTATTGGGAAATATTGGGCAGCAGAGAAGCTTACAGGTCTGTTTTAATTTTAATTTTTATCCCCATTCATTACTTAAAAGAAAAGATTGCAAAATGTGCATTTCCAATGTGGCAATGTACAAATTTAGCTTTTATTTCTTCTTTCATACTCATACTTCTGTACCACCACACAACTGAAGTTCTCCAGATAGCCTACAAAACAGAGGTTAAAAACCAGCAAATCTAAAAGTAGAAAAAATAAAGTGGACATGAGTTCCAAAACAGCCTTAAGTAAAATGACCAGTCCAAGCATCTTCAAATCATGTTTGTAAAAATTAGTCATTTAAAACTTTGAAAAAGTGAAAACGACCTTTCTCTGGCACTGAAAAGACACAGTATAGGCATTAGACCTATGAGTAAAACTCACTATGACAATGTGATTTGGGCCGTGGAGATGATCTTATTTGCTTTGCTGAAGAAAAGTCTACTTGATTGTCTCTATAAACAATTTGGGTGGCACCTGACCATGTCAGGCCTGTGCTATGGGAGAAGAATCTGCTTAGTCTTTTCCACAGTGCTACCAGGCTAAACTACTACCAGGGGGGGTGATTTTGGAATGCCCACAGCCTTATCTGAAGCTCAAGATCTTCAGCCCATGAGAACATTCCCTAGGGCAGTGTTGTCCAAACTTGGCCACTTTAAGATGAGTGGACTACAACTCCCAGAATTCCCCAGCCAGCATGACTGGCTAGGGAATTCTGGGAGTTGGTCCACTCAAAGTGGCCAAGTTTGGACAACACTGACCTAGGTGGTGGCTTGGATACTCACACTGTGGGCATTTCTGTGGCTCTTGCTGAAGCAGGAGAGCCTGGAACTCCCTCTGTTTCTACTGCAGGATTATAGCATGCACCAAAGGGAACCAGCCTGGGAGCATTCAGGCGCTACCTAAAGGGGTTTCAGGCAGGCTGCTTCAGCACCCACCTGCAGTAGACAATCCTGTGTCAATTGGCAAAGCTGGCCAGTCTGGAAAATCTTTGAAGCACAGGTGCAGAGGAGATGGGTATGTAAAAGACTGGTGAGAAGACAGGGTTTGCTCCATACTTACTGGCCAAAGTTCTTGGCTAGCATTCTAGGGGAGTTGAGTCAGCACTGTTAACTTCCTTGCTCCCTGTCCGCCCCCTTTGACATCCAGTAGCCAAAGCTCCTGTACTAAAAAGTTAATGGATTGTATCCAGATTCTGCCACACTTTGAACAGAATGTTGACATCACCAGGAGTTAAGTTAGTAGTGACTAATTTAATTTACATTGATTTTAATGAGCTGTTCAGAAATTCATAGATCCAGTATAAACATGCTTGGAAAAGACTAATTCTCCCATGCCCCCCCATTCTCTTTGTCATCCTCTGACAAATGCTCTTAGTTAGCTGATGCTCAAGGAGGAAAAGTAGACAGCATGGGCAGCTCACCTCTCTGGGAGTGCAAACGAGGGCTTTAGTCTGATCACTTCCAGTGCACACTGTGGAATTCCCTCCCTCCACCCCCCCCCCCCCCAAGTGCTCTGGAGCAACCCAGCCTGGAATATCCTTTAACCAGTAGACAAAGGCTGTTCCCAAACTTTCCTGAGGTACTTGCTGAAAAAGGCACCTCTCAGCCTTGTTTTGTGGTATGAGCTCTGTGGAAAAAGGCTGTGAGGGGTTCTGCAGCAGGCCGAAATGAATTTTGCTCCATCTCAGTCTTAGAAGTGAGGGGACCTCTGCTGTTTCACAGAGTAGGTTTGAGGAACGCTTTGGGCAAATTGTGAAAGCAAAACACTCCTTTTAAGCTTTCTACTCCTCTGGCTGGCACCAAGATAGTCTGGCAGGATAGTCTGCTACCAGAGTTCCACCATTAGTAGCAACTCAATTCAGTGACAGCATCCAAAGAAAAATTGGAATAGATATAGAGGGAGGAGATATGGGTAGTGGAACTATTTCAATTTTATCATTAGCATTGGTTCCTTGTTACTTTTTTTCTGGATTATATCAGCTCAAGTAAGTTCTGGAGGTAGTTTCTGGTAGCTACTGACATGCTGCCTTAGTTAAGTTTTCAGGGGATTAAAAATCTTTTCTGCAGAAAGAGATTTGGGTCTTTCCGTGCAACATCTCCTTTCTTCTTATCAGCGAGTTTCCAGTGCCTAGAAATAACAGTTCATATGTAGAGGAGCTTGTCCATGTTCAGAAATGGATTAGCAACCACAACAGTGCTTATTCACCCATGCCTTGAATTTACCATTTGTTGATTTGTGGACACGTTTACAACAGTTTCTCTTTGTCCTTGACATTCACTAAATCTTAAAACAGTGCCCAATCAAGTTTAATCTTGCATAAGGCAAATTTATTCTGCCTTTTACATCTCCATGGAAAGCCATTTTAAGTTTTAAGAACAATAGTGCAAGTGACTCGGAGTTACAGCCAGATTAAGTCATCTGGGAGGGGACTCATTGTGTTGATGGCACTTTAGTTAGTCACTACTAACTTAAATTCTGTTGATTTCAACAGTCTTCTCAAAATATGACAGATCTGGATACAATCCATTAACTTTTCACCTGGCCCAGACTTCTGTGTTTATACTCAGATGATGTCCCAACAGGAACTGCATATTTGCTTCTTTTCATAGATGGCACTTCTCTGCACATAGAAAGGAGTATGTGTGTGGATTGGGACTTTTCCATTGAAAAGAACACAGGTGTAATAAACTGTTTAAATGCAGGGTTGGAGCTGCTACTCATGGGATCATCAGTGGTTAGCATTTTAAATTTCCAGTTCAAAGGATCATCAGTAAAAGATAATGGGCAAGTCATGTCTACTCAAGACCACAGAGAGCTGCTGCCAGTTAGAATAGAGAATTCTGAGCTTCAGGGACAAATAAGCTATATTTGTACAACATAGCCCAAAGCAGGGTTTAGGCTACGTATGTATTAAGAGGTTTAACCAGGGGGCCGGGGGGGGGGAAGGTTTAACAAAACAGAGAAAAAGCTAAGATGGCAGCCACAACCATGTGATCAAAGCCCTGCCCCTTTTCTATTTAGGTCATAGTGCATGTTAAAAAGGGGCAGAGCTTCAGTCATGTAGCCATGGCTGTCATTTTGACTGTTTTGGACCCCCCCTCCCATAGACACCCCTGGATTTAACTCAGTAGATAATGAGGCCAATCACTGTTTGCCTGACACCCCCTCCCCTGGAATGAGTAGCTGTCTGGCATTTCCCAGCCAGCTTTTTTTTTTACCCCCCCTCAAGCCCACCCCTCCAGTGCACATTGTGTTCAACTGTAGCCTTAGGCAGTTTATTTCTCCATCCCCCTGGAGTTACTGCTCTCCATTTTTCAGAGTTTTGCCATTGGCCGTGTTTTGACTCTCCTTGGGGCTCTTAGCAGTTCCCATTCTGGCTTGCTCCATCTATTCTGTGCTCTCTCGTTCCCAGTCACCTCTCCAGCGGTCTCCCTGTTCTCTGCCTTAAGACTAAACCTTTTTAACCAGAAAGAGTGGGGCAAAAGAAATTTCTTTTGGGCTTACCCAGGCAAGCCTCTTTTCTTTCACCTTTCCTTCTTGAGGCTAGGATTAAACTTCCGTTCTGTCTAATCAAAAAAGGGAGGTCTTTGGACCATCTCTCTGTCTTGACTTACATGGTGCCAAGCATGTTTTATTACAGAAGCAAGCATATTGATTCCCTTTCTGAGTGGGATTTATTTATTGGGTATGTCTGAATACTTGTAAATTAGTCTAGCCACTCTGCACCTGATTTTTTCACTACCTTGCTTAAATGAGAGAGATGCTTGAGTGAATGGGGGCTTTGACATTCATTATAGAAGCAGTGAAGGTGAGAAAGAATTAATTCATCACTGCTTTGCACAGTTTGGTGGAGCAACTCTTCTATTAAACTGTTACTTCATCAGCATACTTAGCTGATAGGACTTTATAGAATGCAAAGTGGATCTCACTTTAGTTTTTTTAATGTCATACTTTAGTTGGATGTTTTGATTTTTGTTTCCATAGAGGGAGTAAAGTGCATTTGCAACTGTCTGTCTGTAACTACCAAAATTGATGCAGAGCACCCTGGGCTTAGAGGTTATGCAGAAAGTAAAGGATGGTGGAGCACAGATAAGGAGTTCAATTTTGCTGAAGTATTTTCCCAAGTTGATGATCGTTTAAAATGTTGCTTGGGGAAGGAGACCTTTAGAAAGCAAGAAGGTAAGACTCTTGCTCTTTTTCTTGAAACTTCCCTTAGTTGCCCAAAGTATGAAGTCTGATTCAGATTGTATAACTCAGAGGGGAGGACAACTTGAACATTTATTGTTAGTGGTAAAATTATGTAAGTGAGGATATTTTAGATAAATTCCATCATCTTCCTCCATTGTGGGTAGGAATGTTTCCACCTTTGTGCACACAATAATTTTGCTGCAATTATCATATACAAAAACAAAGTTCCATGACTTTAAAAGCAAGCAATTTCATTGGGATGAGTGGGGCTCTAATTTTGCTTTGGCATGAATGAAAATCTAGGCCAATTTCTGAACTTGGTACGTTCCAGATGCATTGGCAAGAAGGGAGTTGTAATCCAGTAGATTTCTCCTCTCGAAATGATCACGTCCTGCTAATTTTCCCACTTCCATTTTTTTCTTCCAGGCAACATCACTGTGGAAACAATGATTGACCTATTGCGTGACAAGGCCGAGGGCATATCTGTGGATTCAGACTCTTTTCTTACTACAGCAAGCATGGTGTCCATCTTACCGCAGAATCCGACTTCCCCATGCGTTCATTTTTTCACTGGCACACCAGACCCATCCAAGTATGTTAGACATGCCCAGCATTCTGTCTTTAGTCTCAAGAATTAATTACTAATTTTACATCTTGGATGGGTAGAATCCACATTAGTCTCTGAGTCAAGGTTATGAAAGGAAACATTCCAAGTTTTGTTTTTTAAATCACTGAACTTATTTTTTTAACTGCTGCCTTAAATCTACATGAGTAAAAGCAGTTTCATAAGGGAAAAAGAAGACAAGTTAGCTCAGTGTTTCTCAACCTCGGCAATTTTAAGATTGGTGGACTTCAATTCCCAGAATTCCCCAGCCAGCCATGCTGGCTGGAGAATTCTGGGAATTGAAGTCCACTCATCTTAAAGTTACTTAGGTTGAGAAATACTGGGTTAGCTGATTTGATCTTAAGTAGCACCTATGTCAGTTTAAATGCCTCAGCTGTATTAGCCTATTGCCCTGTAGAATGCCTGCAGTGGATCCTGGGATATCGAGGCTGCTTAACGCTCCACAATTTACTCTCTTAGTTTAAGCTTAGAGTTACATTCTTCTTAAAGGAGATCAGTATTTATTTATGCTGGGCTCATATATCTAAGATGCATGCAGAATAGTTAATTAAAATCTCCTTGCCAGAATCCTTTGTTCACCTTGTATCAATCCAAAGCTCTCCACTGGAACTTCACATTTAAAGTTTACTTTTACAATACAGTGGGGTTGTTTTAGAACACATGCACACATCCATTCAGTTATGCTGTGCTTTTGTTCCAGAGATGGAAAGATGCTTCATAGCAGGCCTGGACACGCTGTCAGGGCCTCTTTAACTGAAGTATGCATCTTTCTGGGATCCAGCAGCTACCATGTTAAGCTGAAGAAAAGGTCTTAACAGGGGTGGTTAAACAGCCACCCCTGTGCCCAAGCACCCTTTGGTTTGGATCCAAAATGCTAGACATCCCGAATTTGTAAAGAAATATATAAAGTTACTATTGTGTTATGAATGTATAAAACTGCTAATGAAAGAGATTGGAGAGAAGAAGCTTTAACAGGCTGATAACTTCTTCAGTAGGTTGGTAAGTTTTCATTGGAGCCATATTAATATTCTTTTCTTTTAGTAACAGCTCTTTTTTTTCCTTTTTTGGTAACTTAAGCCTAGTTAGCATTTCCTGTACCTTTATCCTTTCTTTTTCTCCCTGTCAGTAGAACTGTTTGGATTGTTCTTGTTATTTTCAGGGCAAGGGTTTACAGCTGCTCCACTAACTGAAGTTGATGATAACCCCAATAATCTCCCTAAAGTATTTGGGAAAAGATCAATAGATCTTCATTAGTATTCCATAGAGCAGGTCTTAATCCTTTCATCATCTGTGTTTTGGCATTATCAGACTGCTGAATTTGATAGGAAAACAACATTTCTGAGTAGAAGCAATCCTTGTAATGTAGAGAAACCATAAATAAAAGGGATCCAAAGGAAAAGAAAATGGGGGAAGAAGCAGAATTAAGCTGTGCTTTCCATTTCTGGAAGAAACCTGTATGCTAAAGGCAAATAGGCAAATTATATGGATATAATGCAGCAAGGAATTGTACTGTGGCTCCAACGTTGTGGTTTGCTCATTACATTGCAAACATTTTGTAATTAAGACATCAAAAAAACTTATTTCACTGGAAATTATATAAAATTTGCTTTCAAAAGCAATAGAAATTCTAGCAAAAAGTTTTGTCCTGAATTCCTGATATTAGTTTTTGCCTATTCACAGGGTGTTCCAAGATAAAAAGGATCAGAAAGAGCAGAAGGGCACTATAGTTATTTCCTAAAAGTAGCACATTGTCTGTTCCAGTTGATACGATCTGCTCCATACAGAAGGAAAATATTAAAATCCTGTATACTTGAAGAGATATTTTACATGGCATAAAGTGGCTATTATTTGAGCAGAAGGGTCTGGCCAAAAAGCACAATTAAAGGCTTGATCAGTGACAGTCAAAAGACATCCTAAAATGATTACTTTAGAAGAAATTAATATCACTATTAGCAAAAGTAAACAGAGCTTGTTGAAAGTGTTGCATGTATTACCCCATTCTTTTATACAATTCATATGTTCAGATTTATTTTGGGAGGGTTGTTTTTCTTTGTAGAAACATAAACTGCTAGGTGACAATGTAATCTGTACTATAAGTACTTAGTTGCTAATTCATGTAACCTTTTTTAGGTCCATATTTAAACCTTTTATCTTTGTGGATGGTGTGAAAGTAGTACCTAAAGTTCAGTCACCCATTTTTGGTAGCGAAGATCCTGTGAAAAAAATTCCTCGGTTCCAGGAGAAACCTGATCGCCGACATGAACTGTACAAGGCGCAACAGCGGGCCCAATCAGTCTTAGACAGCGATGATGTAAGTCTTCCGACTGGACTTTAGAATATTATTATTAAACTGATCAGCAGAATTGTTCAGTGCTCTAGGTTTGTGGGTGCTGTAGTTAAAATGAACATTCTATTAAAAACAGTTCTCTAGTATTTGTAGAAAATATATTAAGGTTTCCTCCCTGGCCGCCTGTTTGAATATTTATAGGACATTTTAAATCTATTATTAAACACATGTGTGTTTTCGTAACCAGAAAGAGGCATGGAGTGAGATGGGAGAAAAGTTACTTTCAACGCATAGTTAAAAGCTGAATGTTATATACTATAATTACTGTATCCTTGTATTTATAGGTGAAATACTTACAATATTATCTTTAACTGCTTTTTTTTCAGTGTGCATGTGCAATATAGCACTACAGGTAGTCCTCACTTAACATCCACTCATTCAGCGACTGTTCAAAATTACAATGGTGCTGAACAAGGGTACTTATGACAGGTCCTCATAGTTGCGGTTGTCACAGCATCCCCAAGGCCATGTGGTCGTGATTTGGGTGCTTGGCAACTGGCTCGCAATTACAACGTTGCAGTGTCCCACAGTCACCTGATCGCCATTTGCGACCTTCGCTGCCAGCTTCTGAAAAGCAAAGCCAATGGGGAAGCCAGCAGGAAGTTACAAATGGCAATCCCATGACTGTGGGATGCTGAGACCACACAGGATTCGCCTAACAACATTAACTGGGACAGCCAGAACTGCCATTGTAAGTTGGCATGGTCATGTGGCGTTGCCCCTTACGACCATGTTGCTTAGTGATGGAGATCCCGGTCCCAATTACCATCGGTAAGCAAGGACTACTTTATATCTGAAATACTTACAATATTATCTTCAACAGCTTTTTTTCCAGCGTACATGCACAGTATAGCACTATTATCAACAAAAATTAATGCTACAATTTGTTCTTCCTAAAATGCCACTGAATTTTTCCTTTTATAATTTCAGATATTGTCAATAAAAAGGCAATACATCCTAGTGGTAAAGGGAATTTGGCAGTTTTTCCATTTTTGGCCAGGTTTTCACACTTCACACTCTAGCCAAATGGGCTACACATGTTGGGTCCCTCCACTCCAATAGTGCATTAGGGGGTGTGGGTTTCCCACCACTGGCTCATAGAATCTTACTAAGCAATACAAAGAAATGATAAACTGAAATCCTTAGATGGAGAGAAACTCCTCTTGGGAAACTTACGGGTCTGGTGAGAGACTCAGGATGTGTGCTTTTTTGCTAACCTAGCTGTAGCTGGAAGAATTTAGAGAAATAGTTGGAAAAAAATAGAGCTTTCTAGGGGAATTCCCATTTTTCTTAATCCCTTTCATGGGAAACAGTTTCCTGAAGAGTTTGGAATAGATGAGTATGTTCTAAATTTTAATCAGTCTATTTCTTGCTTTATAGCTATACCCAACCTTCTCCAACCTGGCATCTTCCAAATATGCTTGGTCAGCAACTTCCAGAATTTCTGGCAAGGAATTTTAGGAATTGCAGTTCTTATATACTGCAGTAATTGTAGAACCTGTAGGGGGCCAAGTTAGGAAATTCTGGACTATAATTTGTTGTTAAGTTTTATTACACATATGGTTAATGCACAGCAGTTAAATCCTTTTTAGTTTCCTGAGTATTTTCACATGGATACATTGGTAAGCATTTGTATAATACTGTAAGATCACAGCTTAAATCCTTTCGATCAGTGTTTTTTATTGGCCCTTGCATTCCTTAGGAAAAAGGTCAGACATTAAGAAGAACCATGTTAAACCTTGAAAAACAAGGCTTGGAAGCAATGGAGAGCATAATCTGTAGCTCTGAGATTCTTGATTCTTCAGAAATAGAAGATCTTTTCTATGACTGCGTAGATACAGAAATCAAATTCTTCAAATGAAGTGAGTCCTTTTCATGCTTTTTTCCCCACATTCATATTCCCATTTCAGCCAATGTTCTTATACAAGTTAAAAAAAAAAAAAGTCAATTTAGATGTTCACATTTTTCTGTGTCTCCGGAATCTGCGGTGACTTCAAAGCAATGCTCTGCTTTCAGCACATGTGAGAATAAGAAGCCAACCTTTTGTACATTGTAGTTATTTTGCTATGTGTATAGATTTCTCCTGCATTTTTAGATTGGCATTTGTAATTTGTAAACTAAGGGTTTTTTCTTTTTTTTCATTTCAGTGCCCATAGCCACAGTTAGCCTTTGCACAAGAAGAACATAGAACTCTTCAGGCCTTGAAAGATAATCTCACCATATTGCCGAATTTGGGAGGAAATATTCATCTTGTTAGAGAAATTTTCCTCAGTAGCTATATCCAGTTAACATCCTCCTTCATCATGTGTTGTCCTGTGTGTAGAGGGTTCACTGATCGGTTCAGTTAGTATATGCATGCTGGCCAATGTAATGCTGGAATGTTTTGTTTTATTTGGGCGACAAAACTTTAAAAATGAATAATTTTAGAAAAGACCATATAGGTCTCAATGTTGTTTTCAGATCAAGCAGAATCTTCTGAGAATTTCCCTTCAAAATACTGATCCACTTTCAAAAGAAAGATGGATCACTTTATGACTTCTAAATGATATTTTTGAATAGAAAATGTGGAAGTGTTAAAAAAGAAAATTCCATTATAAGGGGTTTAACTTTCAGCAACGGAATGCCTTCTCACTAATGCTAGTTTGAATTAGAATAAAATCAACCTACACACACCTTAGAGAAATTGCCCACCTAGTTCTCTATTCCTCAGTATCTCATATTTCTTTCTGCTGCATCTCAACCATTTCTCCAAAAGTTTTGTTTTGAATGCTGCCAATATTATTGGAAATTGGTTGGAATGGTTTAAAGAGAGGAAGTATGTGTGAGGATATCATCTATCAGCTTTGATTTAAGCTGCCAATATGTCTGTTACTGCTTTGCCAAATAGCAGCAGTCTTTTAAAGCTACTTAAACAGTAGAACAGGATCTAATCCAGCAGACAGTGATTACCATTATTATGTATTCTAATAAAGCCCCAGATGACCAAGGTTAAGTTTGCACACTTTGATCGGCAGGGTTCAGACAATTAATGTGCTTAACCTATTTCTTTCATGAGACGACTAGACTGATTCACTGACATAGGCATTTGCAGCAAACAAATGGGTCAAACTGGCATGTGTGTGGTAATGTCATAACATAAACTCCGCCCTCATGTGCTTGCATCTCATTGTCTGACACAGGTATGTAACTTAGAGTTTTTTGCATTAGGATGCATATTGTATCCCCCCACACCTCCAAATGCCCAGGTTCACTGATGTTACGAAATTAGAATTGGTTTCTAAAAGTGATTGAAGGTGAAAGTGTTATCTTCCTCCTAGTTTTTGTTTCCTGAATCCATTCTCCTTATGTGATTTGCGTGTTGTTCATGCATCCAGGCAACACTGGACATTATTAAATACTTACCAAGTTCATCTTGCCATCAGCAAGTCATTCTTCCTGCTGTTGACTTCTTAATGAAAATATGGATGTATGGAAGAGAGGGATTGTGGAGGTGAAGCCATCAGACAGAGAAAGGTGATCAGATTCTAATCTCAAAACTATGGTGCTCATCCTGTAATTCAGAAAGTCCAGATTCCAACAGATATTTCCAACTATCAAGTGAACTATCGTGATTACAAATGCTTACATTGTTCTTAACCAGGGACATCATAAAATAATGCCAGGAATGACACACAGTTGGTGAGGTAAATAATAGTTTGAAAGATCAAGCTAAAGAAAGTATTTTTTCCACTTGTACAAGGAATTAATTTTCAGGGGCAAACATTTTTCTAGTTGTTTCAATACATCTTGTCATTATGGAGCACATACAGACCTTCTTCATTTAAACAACTTATCTTATATGGACAGTTTGTAAAGCAAATAGCTACTATTTTAGGGTTTGAAATCTCCAGTTTCAAATAATGGCATCAAAAGGCAACTGACATTTTGAGAAAATGGTAAAAAAATCATCCATAATGTAAACGCACTGGTTGGTGGACACTTTTCTGCGAAAACCCAAATGTTCCAGGTATGCTACAAAATTTGACCACTTTCTCTCCCTGAGGATGTGTTGGAATGTGTAACATCTGATTGAAGCAGAATTTGTAAATCTTTAGGTGTTTCTTGTAGGAAGCGCAATGAGGAGTTTGAAGTCATTTGGGATATATGTATTAGACAATTATGATTGACCAAATTAATAAATTGTTTCTGCACAGAAAGAATTCCTAAGGGTTGAATACTTTAATATTATTTCCTGAATTGTATTGGAGCTGTTTTCGTCTGTTTTACAGCAAGGAATAAAATTGTGAGGAAAAATTAATGTAAAATTAGTTACCTTCTGGAAGTTACTGAGTCACATATAATGTCATAGTCATAGGCTTATTCAATGGGAAATCACCCCCTTTCTTCTTTCTCCCCTGTTCATCTTAAGTCAATTTAAGATGCAGTCTGAATTTTTTAAAACGTTTCAATAATTCTCATATTTACAGCCTCAGTGCAGAAGAAAAAGGATGGTTACTCCATGTCATTTGTAATTGCGCCATCATTAACTAGACACCATTTCTTCGTGTCTTGTTTTTAAATGTAAGGTCTGAGCAAATGATATTTTTTTCATTTTCCTGGGTGCAGACAATTCTCACATTAATTTTTTTCCCTTTCTTTATCCCAGAAATAAGTTCTGGAGCTCCAAAATCTTGCTGCTTATCGCAAAAGCAAAAGTCAACAGCTCTCATCCAATAGGGGGAGTTGCTTAGCTATAACACCTTGTGCAGATAGCTTCTAGTTGTTACCACATTAAGCGCCCCAAGAGCTACTGCTGAAAATGTACGTACAAAGCTAGCTGAAGCCGCTACTGCAGTCCTGTGGCTCTACTTGCAAGAGCAAGGTAGAAGTGCAAATGCAGCCTGGGTTTCCCGTTCTTTCTTAAATAAGGCAACTTCTGTTCTGAGGAGCAGTTACTCTCAAACCGATCTGGATGCTGTGTATTGTACTGCAACATCCACATGAATAAAGGCTGCCTAGTGCATTTTATCTGAATGAAAAACAGCCAGAAGACACTGTCAAAGCGGGGGCTATGATGGCTAGCTTTGCAAGCATGTTAAGCTGTAACTCAAAGGTAATAGGAAACCCACTGTCTTTACTGTTCAAAAATGCCCTCCCACCATTGCTGCTTTTCACGTAAAGCAAAATTGCGCAAGATAGAGATCTGTGTCTGCCATATCTCCATTAGTTTGGTCTTTAAATTTTCCTTTGGGGAGCCCTATCTTGCTTCCAGTTGTACATAAATATATATGGTGCCTTATCGAGGGCGCAATTGTATAGCAGCTAAAGACTTCAGATGCTTCCTAAACAAGATATGTTCCTTTTCTCCATGCTCCAGTTCAAGAGCTCTTTCACTGGCAGGCTGCATCCACTGCCTAATTCAGAGGAAGGATGCATTTATTGGACTTGGGGACTAAAGCAGAGAGAGAGAGAGGAAAAAAAATATTCCACTCTGCTCTGTAGAGACAAGTGGTGATGGTGGTGGTGCAGCCATGTCTTGGCCTCATATTCAAAAACAGGGAGTGGGCTCAAATATAGGAAGTTGCTTTTTATTTTTAAAATATTCAAAGTAAATCTTGTGTTTTAGCGGATCTTTTTCTGGTTTTGCGCACTGTCATTTTTAATGCTTCTGATGGGCCGAGGCCTCAGATGGGCCAGCCTTTTCACACAGAAGGTTTGCTAAGGACATTTTATATCCTTAGGCAGATGGGCCTTAGGAGAAGCTAACGGAGAAAGTTTTGCCTGCATTCTTCATACTCAAAGAGTGTATCTGTGCCTGTATGCCACCTTCTTTTGAAAATCTATACATCTGCACCGCTGAAAAGCCACGTCAGAGGAAACAAAAGAAAAGACTTGCCAGGAATTTATATATTAAAAAGTTACCATGTACAGAACGTAGATGCAATCAATCAAGTTTGGAAGTCATAAATTAGTTAAAACAGTACGAGCAGAAACTCCACGGGCAACTGAACTGCATACAGCACAGGGCAAACAATTTCCCCTAACTAGAATATGCCATATAAAAATGAATGGTTACGTGAACTAGAATACTTCATAGCATTTAAAAATAAAATTCAGGCCAACTTTAAAGCAGCTGAAATTGAAATACAATGTGTGGCAACTTTTTTGTAATTGATCATACGCTGTCATTCTGCCCATCTGGATCCAATGTTCAGCAGCCTCTTAAGTGTCATATCTTATGTGCCTGCACGTATCACATGACCATCAAAAGTATGTTCTTCATTTTATAATACAATTGTTGAACTCTTTATTTTTTGGAATAGCCTTGAATTGTGGATCTTCTCATCTCACTCGTGTTCGTAAGGGTGGGTTGTTGGTATTATCTGTAAAAAGAAAAAAGAGTACAACTGGCTATGACATTTATGAAACTCTATTTCAATAATCAAGAGGTTTAAGCCATAACTCTGTTTGAGAGAACCAGCAGGACAAATTTACAAATCACGTATGTTAGTTGAAAACCCTCATAATACCTCTGAATCCAACAAGATACACATATAGACATATATGCGTAGTTTGCACACATGACTCTAAAATCAGCAATTTAATATATTTAGAGAATTAAGAGATACCTAACTTTTTGACTTGGGACCTAAGACAGCAGTTTCCCAACATGTACTAAATTCCATAGCTTCAAAATTAGCAACCTGCACATAGGACATGATTTACTCAGAACACTTAAGCTAGAATCGGGTAGGCAATAGTGTGCCATGGATCCCACTGTGCTTACTGATACATTCCTTAGAGTCCATGAGTTTTTTTCACCTCATCTATCATTTTTTAAAATATTTATTTAAAAAAAAAACTATTTTAAAACATCTTTTAAAAAAATAATACTTATTTTTAAAAAATAAAAAATAAATCAAAAGCTAGTATGCTGCAAAAGCTAACACCAGACTCTAGCATCATATTTGCTTGCAGTAATGCCTTTGGAGCACACCAAGATCCCACTGAGATGGTTGAGTACACTAAGGGATAATTCACATTTTCACCTTTTATAGGAATATGTTAGTAAAATAATTATAAATTATTAGAACAATTACATACATGTATGTATGTATGTGCCCCTCCAAGTCAGGTTGACTCCTGGAGACTGCCTGGACTAGTCCCTGCAGTTTTCTTCGCAAGAGTTCAGAAGTGGTTTGCCATTGCCTTCTTCCTAGGGCTGAGAGAGAGTGACTGGCCCAAGGTCATCCAACTGGTTTTGTACCTAAGGCACGACTAGATCTCACAGTCTTCTGGCTTCTAGCCTAGTGCCTTAACCACTCACCAACTGGCTCTGAGGAATTACACCCATACACACATGTAAATAATAATAAAATGACATGTATGCATATGATTGTTCTAATAATAATAATTCACCTTCTGGTAAATGGTGATTTGCAACTGGCTGTGTCTGCTATGAAAGTCATGCTCTGAGTACATCTATCACATGTTCTCAAATTCCTACCCCTTGGTCACTCCATGCCACATACTGAACCCAGTTCTGAATTCAGTAAACCAAGGTAAACAAATCACTCTAGGATAATATAGCAAGATAGCAATGGGAGTGGAACAGAATGGACCTCTGGACTGGGAAATGTGAACAAAGCACCACAATGAAGCAGAAATAGTGCTGGGCAAGGCTTACAGGGAATAGGCATGGAGACCATCACTCAGTCGTAGAACTCTGCTGGATTCAAAGGCTATTGAATGGTTAAAAACAACAAAAACAAGATTCATTGGTTTTGAGATTGTTCTCAAGATGGGAGAGGACAAAGGGGTCCATGGCACAGCCTAATGATTTAGATCTGATTGAAAAAAGCCATGCCACAGGGACATACGGGCACTATCTATAAAACACAAATTATGGGTGCCAATGGGGGCTCCTGTGGTATTCTTGAAAATGGGGGTGTTTAATCACCAGACAGTTCTCTAGAGTAGCAATGCTGTTCCACGCAATACACTGAGGAAGCCTATAACTCTCTCATATTCTGAAGTCACTTCACATCTCACTGTGGCAGAAATTTTGACTTACCTTTCGTTTCCTGGCTAGGATAAATTTTCTGACAAGGCTTGAACTCATCAGGTGGAGGAAATTCTTCCACGGAATGGAAAGTAAATTTAGATTCAAAGTCATCTGGAAAGAGTTAAAAAAATCATTCTGAACTATAATAAGCAAAGTAACAAGTATGCACTACATGCCTACCCATCATGGAATGTTATGCAGAGGCACAAAAGGAATAAAAAATAGTAAGTCAAAGAAATTAATGGCTTGAGATAAAAAATAGGGAAATACAGATGAATCTAGTTCACATCATCACCATTCACAATACCTCTCCATACCTTAAAAGCCATCCTTCCTTGCACCACAACCATACACCACTTCATACACTGCCTTTTTATTCCTTAAATTTCTCCTACCTGTCTGAGGATCTCATCAAGTCTATCCAACCACAACTGTCTCAGTCTTCCCCTTCCTCTCAACCCCCTAATTCTTGCTTCATGTCTTTGTTTTGTGATTCAGTCCCCATTCGTTCTCTCTGTATGACTAAATCACATGAACATGCTTCTTCTGTATTGGTCGCTCATTTTTGTATTGTACAAAGGCTTAAGTAACTGCACTGAACTTAAGTTTAAGTTTACATACAACCATTTTAACCTTTCAACAAATATTCATTCTTCACAAAGACCGCATTGGATCCATTTATTACCTCTTTACCAAGTAAAATTTCTCCAGCCATTTTCCCATCTTTAATGAACATCCTGCCAGGTACTCAGATTCATCTGCTTGCTCTAGTTTTTTATCATTTATGCAGAACATTTTTCTTCTAGCAAATACTACCTTTTCTTTGATACATAATTTTTCAGATCCATTCTCCTCATTGCATCATGGAATCTAACATATGCTACAAATCAGTCAGGTTCTCAAGTGCACATACATTCAAATCCCCAACCAACCCATCACCACATACATTTCTTATACATTTATTGATAAATGCATCAAAGGGGACATCAAAAATTTTTGTCTTACTACCTGATGAATGTTGAACTGTTGAACTTAAGCATTCCAATTTATTCCTATGCATGCTTTACTTCCATCATCTCTCTTACTATATTCAGCAATCAACTCCGAACTTCACATTCATGCAAAACATTCTATAGTTCAAGCCTATTCACTTTATCATATATGAATGTGCAATACATTCTCTCCCTCACATTGAAATTATTTCTTAATGATCTCCTGAAGAGCAAAATTCTGGTCTCTCCAGCATAAAGCCAGCTTTTGTACTTCTCAGTTTTGCTCATTGTCATCTCTTATACCTTTTGAATTAGAATTCTTCTAAACACTTAGCAAACTAATTACCTGGTAATTTGCATTCATTCCCACTATTTTTTCTTTGTGTAGGGGAACAATAATATAAATGCAACCACATCCATATTTTATTATTTCTCTATTTACACCATCTACACCTGAAGCATCACCACTTTTCAACATTCTGACAGCATCTGTGACTTCCTTTTCACTAATTTTTCTTGGACATTAACATTTACAGCATTGCACTCTTCAACAACTTACTATCATTTCCATACAAATCCCTAAAATACTCCATCCAGCATTCTCTCAGTTCAGTTGCACCATTTCATCACATTTTTAATTCCATACATTCTGCTTAAAGCTCCTTTTTAGCCCTCATCCACTTCCACCAATTCTAGAGATATTAGAAGAATTGTAGAACACTGTCATAATCCTCTCTTTTGCTATCTTGCTGTTTCACCTGCAAAGTTTCAATCCCATGTTAGATCAGTCTAGTAAAGTAATCAAGTAGTTTTCTTGGCAAAAATACTCAAATGGTTTGCCAGTGCTTTCTTCCAAATAATTGATAATAGTTTATCCTGGAGTTTTTCCCTAGGTATGCCACTATCAATATTTCTGCCTTCAGAATTCCTGTATAAATGTTCATTTGTCTCCAGAAAAGTTCAAATTTACATACTCAAATGCACCCATTCCTCATTTAGCAACTACCTCAGTTAGTGACCATTCCAAATATGACAGTAATAAAATTCATTTTCCAACCAATGTGCACTTTTATGGCCCAATTTTGTGCACCTGACAACAACGCATGCCAGAGTGAGAGTAATGCTGGCACAGCTGTACGAGAGAACTGTGTCTGAATGAGCCAGCAGGAACCACTGATCTCTGTAGCATCTTTCTCTCCTTCTGCCTCAGTCATGTGTTCACTTAGCAACCATTTCACTTAATGACCTGGTAATTGGAACAGAACTCAGTCACTAAACGAGGGATGGGTATACTGGCTTTCATGCATATTGACTTTCCTGAGCAGTTTGCATTGCCATCCCTAAGCAGGCAATGGTTTTAAAAAGCCTTCATGGATAATTAAGTCTGTAACCTTGTAATAAGAAAAATTCTATATTTTCTATGCTTGTCAACTATAAATGATACAGTGTTACCCATAATGTGGACAGCTCCATTCTTAAGTGCTGGGTAGAGGTCATGGGAAACCAGGCACGGAGATACTTGTGTGTATTGGCATTTGCTTGTGAGCTCAGTTGTTGGAGACCTTGCAGGGGGAAGAGGCGGTGGCATCAACTTTGCTAAGAAGAATAAACATGGAAAAAGGACTAAGCAAACAATACGTCATGCATTTTCATTCCTACCTCTCATCCTTCTTGCAAAATGTTCAAGCAGAACATGCAGTATCCCTGTATACATAACATATTCATTCTCAGAATTAGGCAGAGTGATCAGGTCACAATTACCCAATGTGGGATTGCAGCCAGTTCTCCCCTGTATTGTCCAGTATGCTTTATTTTGTAGATCCCCATATATTTTAATATAGTATTCTATTCAAATCATCAAATTCAGTAAGGTATTAGCACTTTTAAATGCAATCTTTCTGAGCTGTGGGAAACTTATTTTGGCCAACGGGCAGAAAAAACCCTGGACAATCTGTTAGAGGCTGCATGCTCACAGTAAGCAGTGCAATAGCCCAAAAAGTTACCACACAAGCAGGCATGTAGTCCTCCATGGACTTTGCCCCCTTATGTGCGTGCATGCACACGTGCATGCACGCACACACACATACACGCACACACACTATGGTTAAATTCTAAAGCAATTTCTGACCTGGTTTGCACAACATACCAACCCAAAGGATCCCAACCTGCTTCAGTTGCTAGGTGTATATACAAAGGACATCTTGTACCCTGTGCAAATTGTACTCAACAGGATATAAACCAGTGGGATGCAACTGACATAGTTACCTCCTCCTCTTCCTTGTCTCCTTTTATGCATTGCAGGAGCTTGCTGGGGGGTTGGGGGGGTTGGGGGAAGAGGCATTGACTGAATGGGGAGCTTCTGCAACTGGCTCTTGAGGGGCAGTAGGGGGGCAGAATCACTGCTGCTGTCCAAAGCACTGCTATAGGTTGGTGATGGCGGTGAAAACATTGATGTTCTCGGTGAAGAAAAGGTAGACATAGAAGGTCCTGGGAGAGGAGGAGGTGGGGGTGGTGGCATGGGGGGAGGATTAATTCTTAGATCAAGCTGGGAGGAGGATGGGCTGGGACATTCATTCACTTTGCCTGGAAGTGCACAGGGGGATGATGGAGCCAAGGGTAGTGGTGGAGGAGGTGGCATGTGCAATGGGGAGGGGTTACTTTTAGGAGTTCTGTCATTCTGAGAGGAAGCAGCAGCAGCCATGTCTGGGGAAGGGAGCTTGTCAGGATGTTCAGACAGAGGAGGTGGTACAGGGGGAGGAGGAGGAAAGATAAGTGAAGGTTTTCCAGAGGGAGATGGTAATGGTGGTGGTGGTGGCGGTAGAGGAGGAGGAGGAGGAGGAAAGGTAAGTGAGGGTTTGCCAGAGGGAGATGGTAATGATGGTGGTGGTAGTGGTGATGGTGGAGGAGGAGGAGGAGGAGGAGGAGGAGGAGGAGGAGCAAGAGATGGAACTGGAGCAGGAGCAGGAGGAGCAGGGATGCTGGGACGAGCTGGCACAGCTCGCTGGACCTTGGATGCTTCTGACTGATCTGTTTGCTTAGGGCCACCTGGGGAGATCTGAAAGTTGCCACTGGCTTTCCCATTATTGTTGCCTGGGGCTGGAGCCTTCGGGGGAGGAGACGTTTTCACAGTAGGTGGCTTCCCAATCCTATTAGCTGAGGAAACCAAGCAAAAGCAAATAAATCACATACAATTTTGAAATAATCAACAATTACTTCTACAATTCACCCTTTGAATAATATAAATTATTCTCCCTGTTACTAAATCCAAATAATTCATCCTGTGAGTAAATCCAGATTATTGATCAAATGATGAAGAAAATGAGAGGATGTTTTCCGACTCAACTTCTTATATTGGTTGCCCTATCAATTAGCCTTTTCTGTATGCTATTCCAATCCTGCCAATTAGTTTTCAGAGACTGCAGAGCCAACAGCAATTCCATCATTCCAGGAGGCAGTACTGAAGAACCTAGATTTTGCTTCATTCTATTGCCAGCAGAAAAACAAACTAAAAATGTCTGTGGAAAAGAGGAATCATTCTTGCACGTCTCAATTATACTACACAGAGGTGAGATGGATGTCTCTAAGCAACGGCTACACTCTGGTGGATTCAGGAACAACGGTCTTTCCACCCAGCACTGTAGTTTATTAATCTATTGTGCCTGAAATCTGTTTTTCTCATACACAGTTTTTACTTGCTTGATTTTGGTAGTTTAACCTTGATTTCCCCGTCTGACTGACAGCATCATTTATATAAAGATAAGCTCTTGGTCACAGTTATTACTTTAAATTGCATTATCCTTGACTGTCTAAAACCATCCAGGAATAACAGCTAGTACAAATCACAGCAGCATGATTGTTAACTGGCCTGGATGTACTGAATAGATTTTGAAATAGCCACATCATTCAAAGGCCTTGGGGTTTTTGAGTTAATTTATTGCACAAGACAGAAACCATGACAAAAAAACCCCAATATAATGAAGTAAGAGAAAATATATTGTAAATAATGTGCAGAGTATGCACATTTGCTGTTAATGCAAACATAAATACTCTGTAATAACCAATGCATGCTCAGATAATGAATAGCAAAGTGGTTTTGCATTTTATGCAACTCATAGGATCTTAGAATACTTGCTGTAAGTATAGTTAACACGCTAAGAGAGATCAGCTCTCTTATTAATGCTCTAAATCCTCAATCCTTCTTTGAATATTAATTTTATATGCAAAAGGACAAGTTAGTGTGTCCTAACTTACATCATAAAGAAACACTTTGATATTTTGTTGAGACTCCATTTGCAACCGGATCCCGTTACCTGCTAAGTCTCTTTGGCCAACTGGTCTCAGAACAGGGAATCCATCTGCAAAAAGATTCCCTAAGGCCTGAGGGATATCACTGCTACAATTTCCAGAGCTTCCTCCATCTCTGCTGGGCCTTCTTCTGCCAGCTGTGAAGGAGAAGGAGAAGGAGAAGGAGAAGGAGAAGGAGAAGGAGAAGGAGAAGAAGGAGGGGTATTTCTTCATCTTTTGGTTTTCCACTATCTTTCCTTTGGCATAAAATGAGCAGAGGATAATGGCTATGTACAGTATATACAACACAATAATTGTTTAACAAATTGAGCATAATTGGCAGGATTTACCCAGCAAGCCATATAGTGCATTTTAGAACATGTTGTGGCTGGATTCACACAACACACTAAGCCACAAAGAAAGCAAACCATATTATGGCTTAGTTATGATGTTCAACCACTCTGTCTTGCAATTACTAACAGTAGAACTTTCTGCTGCATATATTAAGGCAAAAAAACTCTTTGAAGAAACTTTTCATGCTGCATGATTAAAAACAGTGCAGCATTTGAACCTTCAGATCAGGAGTATCTGCAAGTGGAGGGGGGCACTGTAAAAGAAGTCAAGATGGCAGCCACAACTACACTCTTTTCTCTGTGACTCATGTGTGCAGTGCAAAGAAATGTGTAAAGAAGGGGCTGGACTTTGCACACTTTGGGCTGCCATCTTTTGCTTCCTCCTGTAGACATCCCTAATTCAGATATAATAAAGAAACTAACTTTGATTTCATTTAAATGCAATTGAAGTTAAATGTAATTAAACACCATGTATATAATTATACTAAAAATTAGAAACTAAGGACAGTTTTTGCAGAGTTTTTGCCCATTAAAAACTTGCAGGGAATAATGGCATAAGGAGCATAAGGTTATATACTCCTAGCACCCTAGACAATACAATTATGCACATATTATTCTTTAAAACAGGAAATCAGGTATTGCCACTGACTTCCTATAATCTCAACAGATATATTACATGGTAGAGCTAAAATACTGCTTCCTGTTTTTGCTTCTTTCTTCCACTTCTTCCTCTTCCTCTTTGTTAATTTTAATGGGCTTCTCTCAGGCATCCCTTGCTACCACTTTCTTTACTTATTTTGGCTGGAAATGATTAAATTAGCTGGGAACATTTCTTGATGTTTTTACAGAGAAAATTGTCAGTCTATTTCCCTAGTGAAAAGAATGAGTGAATAGATGACAAGGGCTCAGAATGGTTGAAAAAAGAAAGGCTTGAAAAAATGTGCCATTTGTACAGGAAATGTACAGGAATTAAAATCACAAATTGGAGGAGGGGAGCTGGATTTAAGAGTGAATCCAAAATATATGGGACAGATAGGAAGACATCAAAATTACTTCTATATTTAATAAGAAGTTTGGGGTATTGAGAAAAAACAGCTTGATAAGATTGGTTAAACAATCTTCAAGTAATCTGGCCAACGTAAAAAACTTTCATGAGAAAAATGAAAGTGGGTCACTGACATAGTCTTGTAATCAAGGAAAAAAGAAAGATCTCTGTCAAGAAAGGGCTTTCAATCTAAAAACAGCTTAGCAACCATTGGAAAATATCCATAAACAGAAGACTTACTGTCAATCTGTGGAGCACTGCGATCATTGATCTGGGATACTCTCCTCAACCGAGTCCCTCTTTGGATCTCATGTAACAAAGCACTTCGACTTTTGGATTCCTCCTTTTTCACTTTGGGTGGTTCTGTGTTTGCCTGTCAAAGATAGCAGGTCAAAATCCCAGGTATCAGGAGGGCACTTCTTGAGGACAGGGAGAAGTGTCTAGGAACATTTTGGTTCCTTGGCCAATGATCACACTGCGTACCCTCCATTTGGAGTCTGACAGTCAGCATCAACATCTTGAACGTGGGCCAGAAATTTTATTATTTATTTGTTAGAGGTACTTCCTGCTTTACCTCCAGGAGCTCAAAGTAGCTTCTATAGTATTCTCTCCTCCAGCTTTTCCTCATAACAAGCTGAGAGTGTGAGTTCCCGTGGCTGAGGATGGACTGGAGTTTGAAGCTTCCTGGTTGCAGTTCAGCTCCTTAACTCCTACACAACATTGGCTTTCACTAAATGGTCATCAGTGTCCTTCTTTTAACAGTGAAATGATGTGAGTGTCTGGTGTTTTCAATTAAAGTTCTGGTAGCCAAATTCACTAGGTGTTCCATCAAGAATAAATAACATAGTGACTCCATGACTATCCATTGGGGTCCTTGCCCTACTTGGCTTGATTTTTTACAGGTTCTTTCAATAAAAACATTGCTTTCTGGTAAGTGATTGACAACTGGGAGATACGCTGATCTAAAGTTCTTTTAAGTACAAGTGTTACAGATTGCATCTGCAGTATGAATTCTTTTCTTTTAAAAGCACATAATTTATTTTTCATTTCAGCTTGTAACCACAGACAGTAGTACTGATGAACATACTAGTAAAGCCAATATTAACAATTTACTGCTTTTTCCTGAGAATCTCAATTGTCTTTTACTTTTTTAATCGATAGGAATGGATAAAATCACATCGTATCAGTTGGGAGTCAGTGCAACTGAAATCAATGGAATTTATTTCCACGTAACGTGATTAGGGTCAGGGAAAGGGATACTTTGCATTTGGTTTTCTTTATACACTGAGACACTTTTGCTAGGTGGTAGAGGGAATTATATCCAGGTATAATAAAACCTCCATTTTACAGATCCCCATTCAGCAACCTTCAAATAAAGTAAATGTTGTGCCTTCTAGTCATTTCTGACCCCTGGTGACTGGCCACTGCAGTTTTATTGACAGCGTTTTTTGAAAGGGGCTTGCCACTGCCCTCTTTCTAGGGCTGAGAGAAGTGACTGGCCCAAGGTCTTCCCAGCTGATTTCATGCTAAGGTGGGACTAGAACTCACAGTCTCCTGGTTTCTAGCCTGACGCCTTAACCACTATACCAAACTGGCACAATAGACAAAATTTGAGTTTGGATTCCCCCCCCCAAAAAAAGTCTGTTGTCTCCACAGCAGTCAGGACAATTGATATGATTTACATTATAGTGTAAATTAGGATAATTTGCATTTAATGGACAGTCTTCAGCTCCAAAAGACACCTTTTGATTGTGAATGTTAGTAACAAAAGAAAGTTTTGAAGGAGGAACCGAGCCATTCAATGATTCTCTAAAACATTGGGTAGTCCAAATGTGTTGGGACTGCAACTTCCAGAACTGTTGTAGTTACAGTCCCAATTAATCTGCAAAGCACCAAGTTAGGAAAGGTTGGTCTGTACTTTAAAATATCAGATGAAATGCAATGCTGTTCACATAAGGCTGTCCCATAATAAAATGTAAAAGTCACAAAACTTAATCATTTGACTAGAAATTTCCCTCAAGCTGGAGCTAGACTGACTGATCTGACTGTTTGCATCTGCAGTGGGTGGCAATGGATAGGAAAGAAGCCAGAGCAGGTAGACAGAAGAAGGGGGTTTCCTTCTAGGCCTGGCAGGAGGTGCTGCTGGAGTGAGAGGTGACTGAACAAGGTGCAGAGACAGCAACAGCTGGGAGAGCCAGAAGCTGGAAGATCCACAGCCATGTAGAAGAACCAGGAAGGCGCCTGAAGTAGCTGAAACCAAAGAAGAACCTGCAGAAAAGTGTAAGCAGAAAGAAGATGCAGCCCCGGTCTCCAGTGGCGGCATAGCACACTCCACACGTTTCAGGTGCTGGATAACTGGGCAACAGAGTATTAAGAGAAAAGGCTGTAGATAAGGTAGCATAGGAGGAGGAAGAAGCTAGCAGCAAAGCAGTTTGTATTATAAGCAAATTTATGTTGTTAAGTTCTAAGCATTAAGTAGGTATTAGAAGACATATTTACCCTAGGTCACTATATAGATAGATATACATAGAGCTAAACATTTATACACATAAAATGTTATACATCCATTTTGCACTGTGCTTGTACAATAATAAACAGCATTATCTTCACTCATTAGCTCTGTGTGTGTCTGGCTTCTTCCCTATCCATTCTCACCCGCCAACACTATTCGCTTGCATTTGAACTGGCAGAAAACTATACCAGTCTAACTTATTCTCTTTCCACTGCATTCGCTATCCTGCATATATTGCTTCTATTTTGCTTTGCAGATGACTGGTGGGTCTCCTGATTCCATGTCTGCAGTGTATGTTAAGCAAAGTCCTTGGTGAAACCTTTTGGCTTTTCTGCCCTCCCGCTTTCTGGACATCACCACTTGGTGGGATACCATCTATCAATCAGGACAGTGATGAGGGGATAGAACAGGAAGGAAGCTTGGGGAGGTGCTAAGTAGTGACAAGTGACCACCTCCCTGTCCTGCTTTACTATCTTTGCCAAATCAGGAAAGGACACCTGTCAAAACCAGTGAAGCAGGAGAGCCAGCTCTTGCAAAACATGGAAACCCCTACACACATACACACACACACACAAACCAACAGCCCACCATTCATTGGATTGAAGGAACTGTTTAGTAACTAAGGATACTGAAAGAGAATCTCCTGCATTATCAGGCAACTTCCCCAGCCCAACAACCACAAGTTTGGTGGGCTTATTTTGACAGCTTGTTCAAAAAGCACTAAACCTGCACTCAAGCAACAACTGTGCCCAATTCTTTTCACCCACAGGAAAGAGGGACAAATGGCAGCAGAGGAGAGTCTCTGGAAACTCAGGAGGATGAGGTGTACCTGCAGGAGCCTGAAATGGTCAATAAGCACCAGGCTGTCCCCACCCCTAAGGTAGTCTGACTGCACTGCCCACTGAAGTCAGCAAAGCATGTCAAATTGTACCCGATTAGAAACTTAAGGAAGAAAATGCTACTGTAAAACTAGAATGGCCAAGGATGACTTACGGTTGTCCCACTTACAGGCTAAGGACGAGAAAGAGGCAAATTTTGGGGACCTGGCAGAATAAAGAGGTTCCCAGGTCATGTTCACATGATGATTAGATGCAAGTGGGGAAACATCTTCATCTTAGGGTTGACTTCGTTGAAGACCTCATGGTTCCTTATCATGTCACATCTCTCCCTTTCTTGTTTCCCCATCTGCTTTTTGTACTATCTTGCTTGATGAAGAGTTCTTGAAACTTTGCACATTTCTGTAAGCCGCTCTATTAATGGCATTGCCCTAATATAGATTTTTTATTTTTTCTTAGGGCCAAAATAACTGCATTTCTATTTTGAAGGATATGCATGACTCACTGAGATCCTATTTCAATAAAAACAGCATTTCAAAAGAGTCAAAGAACTAGACAGGAAAAAGGAAACAATAAAAATGGCAAATAACATAGATACCTCCAAAA